GGAGGGCCGGTTACTGCCCTGGCCGAAGCCGGGGATGGAGCAGGATGCTCGGCTGGAGAGGAGCTGGGCAGGGCAGCACGGCGCGGGCAGGGAGGTGGAGAGAAGGCAGACGAAAGTGTCAGAGAAGAAAGAGAGTGGCCGGACGGCTCAAGAAGGCAGAAGCACGCGGAGCAAGGGGAAGGGGCGCCGAGCCAGGCCCACCTCTCCGGAGCTAGGTAGGGGCATGGTTTTCTGTCCTCGTGCGGGCACAGAGCTGGCCCAGCCGGCCCCTGAGCGGGATGGGGGACCCCCAGCCTACCCCTGGGAGATGTGGGGAGCCCAGGCTGTGCCAGAGAGCACACAGGTGGGGTGCGGGGCCACAGCTCTGGGGGTTGGGGATGCTGGCACCAACCAGTACCATTAAGACAGACCGGCCTGGGTACCAGTTTGCTGGCCATTGCTGACATCTCCATCCCTCCTGCCTGGCAGGGGAAGGACGCAGGGTGCTGAGCTCTGGCACCCAGCCCCGGGCTGGTCCGGTCTCCCGGGGCACAGGGCACCCATTGCAGCTTGTCCTGGCTGGGCCGTGCTGGGTGGTCTGGGCAGGCCCATGTGCTGGGGCCGGGGGGGGGGAGGGAGCCGGGAGGCTGATGCTGATGTGGCGGGGCAGAGCAGCCAGCACCCCGTGGGGGGCTGGGGGGAGCTCGGAGAGGGGGCTGCGGTGGGCCGTACAACTCTCCTCCTTCCACACCCCGCTGCCGCCTCATCCCTCCTGCTGTATGGGGATGTGCAGCAGGCTGTACGCTCCCCGCCCCGTCGTCCCCTGCCTTGTTCCACTGCAGGCACTGTGCCTTGGTGGCCCCTGATGTGGCCCATTCCTCCATTGCACGGCCCAGGGACCTGCTAATGCCCCAGTGAGGGTGTGGGGCATGTGGTGGCAGGGATGGGCAGAGGGTTGCGAGGCCCCTGCTCTGCCTGCATGCAGCCCAGCGTGGCAGGGGCCCCGCTCACTCCCCACCGCTGACAGCCTCGGGGCCTGTCTCTCTCTGT